CGGCTCACCTTCGTTTTTGTCGATCTTGTTGATCATGCGGCGCAGCGGCTCGATGTACTTGGAGAGCTGTTTGAGCTTCTCCATGTACTGCTGGTCCTCCAGAGACGTGGGCCCCGCCGGACTCATCACCGAGCTCGGGTTCACTGAAAGTTTCACAATAAAAGCCGGTGAAACTCTGAGGAGGGAAAACGGACGTGTTTCACCTTCTGTGACCTCAGTGTGTGTCTGTGATCGAGGTGCACACGCCTGCGTCGCTCAGCGGTGGAGTCAGCGAGGGTTCACGTTATTCTGAGCTCTTCCTTTCAGATGTTTGTGGGGTTACCTGGAGTACTGAGTGGCCCGGGGGAGGGCACGCCGTAGTTCTGGGGGGTTCTGGAGTTGGCGGGGCTTGGTGACGGCTGAGGAGACGGGCTGGGCTGGAAACCCCCCGGAGACGGAGTGGGACCGGAGCTGTGGGAGGAGCCAGAAGGAGTTAGACTCGCTCACAGACATGTAAACCGAGCGGGTCAGAGACCGGACGCAGACGTGAATCTGAACCTCAGAGGCTGATGATTGGCTGATGACTGGCCGACCCACTGCTGTCCTGAAAGGTCAGCGGTGCGGTCTATTTACTGGACGTACCTGGCTGAGTTGGGCTGTGAGGTCGGGGGTTGGGGTGACGGCTGCGGAGGAGGCGGCATCGACTGAGGAGTCGGGACCTGCACCGGTGAGGGCGATGACATCTGCTGGAGGTGATTGGACAGACAAGGCAAACTAGCCAATCAGAGCACAGAGGGGAAGGCAGGATGCTTGTGTGCGTGAAGCAGCTCCACGAGGTCGTTAGAAACCGTCTCCACCTCACGAAGCTGCTTCAGACTGAAGAAACAGGAGGACGAGCAGGTGGAGGTCAGAGGTCACACTGGGGATAAATACCTGCGGTGTCATGGCCTGCACTCCCACCACGCCAGCTGCAGCGGTGGCGGCGTTTTGAGGAGGGATGGGGTTCAGAGGTGCTCGAGGCAGCCGGGCTGGAATCTGCATCCCAGGACGAACCAGCTTCAGAAGAAACAAAGCACAGGTGACACGAGGACAGGTGAGACCTGCGTCTCTCTACACCTGTGACCAGGTCAGA